CCCCCCCCCTCCCAGGGGATCACGACCCACAGGTTGAGAACCACTGATCTAGCTAATTCCTTGTCTCTAAAACTCAAGGGGCAACCTACTGCTCCTTGGAAGAATATAACGTATTTTTTTAGTTCCCTATTTAAGCTAGAGGCACCTAAAAGGAAATGTGTTTATAAGTTGTATCTTCAGAACCTGAGACATGCAAAGATTTATGATTCGTGTAAAATATTTACATAAATACTTTTGATATGCTATTTAATTACATATAAACAATACTCATAATGGAGAAAGTTGGGGAGTAAAACAATAATAGCTAGATATTTAGTTATGGCTCCTTTATTAAGTTTGCTTAAGATAAGTTACTTGTTTCTCTGAACCTCAGGCCCATTCATTTTAAAATGAAGCAGTATCTACATTACTAAGCTCATAGGGCAGGTACCTCCATGAACAACCACCTTGTGTGCCAAGAGACCCAAAGAATTGGAAAGTACTCGGCTAGTTACTGAACATTTTATCTAATCAAAAACTCTATAGCACAATTGTAATCAAAAGGAGTAGAATTTCAAATGCTCATGGAATTCAGATTTTTGAGCCACTATAGCCAGATAATTTTCTGAAGTTAATGGCCTTTGCAAATTTTTTTCCCCAGCAAGTCAAAGTGAACTTTTAGGAGTGAAAGAAAAGCTTTCGGTAGTGCAATCTCACAGACAAGAGGCCGTTTCTGGAAAGCACAGAGGGCTATGTGGAAAGACAGGTGGAGAGACTACAAAAGAGAGGTGGTAGAACCAAAAAGGGAACACCAGGGAGAGAGGTGGAACCAAACTCTGGGTACATTTTCAAACCTTATTGAAGTCAATTTAAATCAAACAATAGCTTAATTAATAAGAAACATTTGCTTTCAGTAGTATTGTGTTCTTTTAAAGAACTAGCAAAGGTGGCCAATTTGAAGAATGTAACCAAGACCAGGCAGGGGATTATACACATAGGGAAGAACTGTTGAATTGGTATATATTTTGATGTTCTTTTCCTTATGTACAAGTACATGCACTTACACTTAAACACACACACACACACACACACACACACACACCAGTAAGGAAAGGAGAAGGGGGAAATAAGCATTACACATTTTTGCTTTAATGGGTTCATTTTCTCATTAAAATCTAAGAATAGACCCTTTCCCGTTCCACATAATTTTCCATAAAATACTTAAACATTTATGAAATACAATAGGTATATTTAATTCAGAAAGATCACGATTTAGCTGAAGATACATTTAAGCAGACTAAAGTGTGAGTTAAATTTCTGCTACAGCACAAATATAAAGGCGTTTGTTTAATCATTATGCTTACCTCTAGCTGCTTTTACATTAAATCTTAATCTTCGCAGTGCTTCTTCTGTATCAAAATTGCATTTAACCAGTTCATATAAAGCCTAGAAAAATAAAGTCTGCGATATGTGACCTGAACTATAAGTAGTTCAATACAATACCCTCAGTAAAGACTTTTCCAGAATCCAGTGTTTGTTTTCAGTTTCCAGAGCCCCAGCAACTTAAGTGAATGCAGCATACAATACCCCAAGAATAAACAAGCAAATTCTATTCTGATAACTAATTAATTCTAACTGCAGGAAGAGTTAGAAAATGCCTTAGTAAGTTTTTGCATCATCTCTGGTATTTAAAAATAAAGTTACTTCATATGAATCACACCTCCTTTATTGTGGCTACTTGTTGGTTTCTACTCAGTGACAATTGTGAACAAATCAGAATGGAATGACAGAAAAAGCTAACCCAAGTATCATGCCAATAGTAGATTTGTAGTCTGTACAGGTCAACTTGAAGAATATTAACATTATCCTAGAGGAGAATTTCCAGATTGAAGAGGCCAGATTCTTAGGATAACCAAAAGGGAAAAGAACGAAAGTAAACAAACAAAAAAAGCATACAAATAAAAGTAAAATATGTAAGTTTTGTGGTTTGTTTGTTTGTTTGGGGCTGGTATTACACCAAAGAGTAAGTGTACTAACACTAGATTAGTTTATGCGGATCATAAGCCAATTCTCTGGTGATTGATTATACTAAGAAATTTCAGTGGATAAAGTAACATTAAAAATGATAGCATATATATTTTTAAATTTTGCATGGTTAATTTACTTTAGAAACATTCTAAGTCTTTTTCATTCACTCACCTGCTCATTGTCTTTTATATGAGACCCTTCAGGAATTGCTTCGACACCTTTTTCATCACCTGTTCTTCTAGAGGCATCCTTAAGAAATGCAATCACTTTATCTTCTGGTAAATACTCAGGGTCCCACAGGAGCTGATCATCGTTTTCATATACTAAATAGGTAAAACACAACACTTTAAAATAAAGCATTTATCAAATTATATTATACTTAGAACCACATGCTGAAAACTGAGAGTGAAAGTAAGGCCCTATCACTAGCCTGACTTCATTTTAGGGCAGTATTTATAATTTAAGTGAATTGGGCAAATAAACCAAGATGAGTACACTACTTTACACGTGCTTTTTGGGTGCACTAGGTCTGGGTTTACTGAATTCGAGGCTACCTTGGTTTGAATACCATCTCCAATACCTACTACCTACACGATTTTGGGCAACTTGCTATAAAAGAGCCCTAGTAATGTAGGGAGTTACGTGTTGGGCTAATAAACACAAGGTCAACAGTTTGAAATCACCAGTAGCTCTGAGGGAGAAAGACGCTCTCTATTCCACCAAGATTTACAGCCTTGGAAACCCACAGGGGCTACTCTGTCTTATAGGGTTGCTAAGATCAGCAAAAACTTGATGACAATGAATTTGAGTTTTTTGAGATCACATAAGAGTGGTAAACGTTTGAAGCACTTTTATGACACATATAAAGGGTCAATGGATATTAGCTATAAATTTTTGTTTAAGAGATGTTTAGAAGAATGTTTATCAAATGTTAGCACTATTTATTATTGGGTGGTGGAATAAGGAGCGATTTTTTACCTTATTGTTGTTTACTATAATGCATTTCATAAATGATTCAGTTTTATAAGTCACTTTTTAAAAAAGAAGAGTAAATCTCACCACTGTAACATTAAAGACAAATTGCACTAGAAAGTGAAAAGAGGGAGTTCTTAGACCTTAAAGACTTCTGGAATTCTAAGCGACAGGAAAATGCAAACATAAAATGAAGAAGCAGTCATGAAATGGAAAAGATACCAATGCAACACCACAACTACATAGGGAAGAAAGTGCTTCAAAGACTAGTTAACTGAATGAATGCTGTTGCTTGACAAGGATGAAAATAGAAAAAGTAAGCTTTTCAAGAGGTGAATGCTATGGAAAGTGTTTCTGTGGAGAGATGGAAGCAGAATCCATAGGGGATAAAGAGTAAATGGACCGTGAAAAACTATAACGTAGAAAACATCTAATAAATTTGGTTGTGGAGAGTACACTAGCTAGAAGGGAAAGTAGAAGTGAAAAATGATTTCGCTGTTTTAGCTTTTAGAGATAGTAAACATAAGCATTTATATCAATGAAAAAGAGCCAGTTTGGGCAAGGCACTGCATTTAAAGGCCAAAAAGGAACACTAATAATGTCGAAGTTTCTTATACTAAGTGATTTCAAAAATTTTTGGAAAAATTGGTATTTTTTCTAAGGCCCCGCACATTACTAGAATGTATCAACAACTAACTTAAGGCTCTCCTATGTACCAGGAGCACTGGTGGCATAGTGGCTGCAGCTGCTAATCACCAAGGTCAGTGGTTTGACCACCACCAACTTAGCTGGAGAACTGGAGAAAGCATTCTATTACCATGAACAGCTAATGTCTTAGAAACCCACAATGGCAGTTCTACCCTATAGCCGAGTCAGAATTGATGGAACGGCAATGACTTTGGAGTTGGACATACCAGGAGTAAGCCCTAGTGGCGTAATGGGTTCTGTGCTGTTGGGCTGCTACCCTGGTAGTTAGCAGGTTATGCATTTGGCTGTTAACCAGTCTCTAGCCATTCTGCGGGAGAAAGATGAGGCTTTCTACTCCCACTAAGATTTACAGTCTTGGAAATCCCTAGAGTAGTTTCATCCTCACTTGTAGAGTGGCTATGAGTCAAAACCACTTGGCATGATGGCAGTCAGTTTGGTTTGGGTATATTATGTTCTAGGAATTATTTTCACACTTAATACCTTGTCTCCCCAAGATTTCTGACCTTCACACACGTCAAAGACTTCTTTTATGTTCCAAAAAACAATGATCTTTGCCAAACCAGACAGTGCAGCTCACAGGATGATAATCTTTAAAAACTTTCCTTATTCAACTTGCTAGTCCAAACCTAGTGAAACTCCTAAAACCTCCAATAGACAATTTGTCTACAATGCCACTGATTTTTGTTCTCTGCTCAGTCTCTGCACACCAAAAGGAACAGCTTAGTTCTTAGTCTTAGGATAGGATATGGACAAGGCCATATAAAAAAATGAGAACAAACACACCTGACTCCAGAAGCAAGAATGGAGACTGGGTCCATGAGGCCCCAGTATCATCCCAGTTAACTACCATATTATTCGGTTTATAAAACATACACAAACTGTATGGCAGGGACCAGACAAAATAAGGGATACATATGGTAACCAACTAAAAAGGAGGGGGGAAAAAAGGGAAGAAAAAAAAAGGGGTTGGGGGGTAGCTGGGGACAGGGCACTACCCACCTAAGGGGAGGGTACTGTTTCTATCTCCACAGGGAACGAGGGACCAGACTTCAACCCGGTGCTTCAAGAAGTGAATGCAACATACCGGCATGAAACAAGGACCAGTAGAGAGGTCTGAGGGGCCAGCCCCAATCCCAAGTACATGGACAGCTGCCCCTCCCCCCAGAAGAATTTACTTCAGAGGACAGCACTAAAGCTACAGCTCAGGGAAAGGGACATATCTGATCAGAGCATACGGGAGCAAATGAAGGGGAAGGAAGTGAGTGGAGCACATCCTGGCCCACCATGCCTTGAGGACGATATCCCTGCTCAGAGCAGCCAATGTACAGAGGACCATATGACCGGCCCCACTGAGACACAACATCTCTCACTGACCCACAGCCCTACAGGGGACAACACTGGAGACACAGTGTGGGAATTGCACCCGATCTGACCCCACCACACCAAGGCAAAACACTAAAGGGCATGCAACAGAACAGCAAGGGGAGCAGAGCAAGAAAGTCACAAGTAATATCAAAAATAGACTTTGGGGCCAGAGCGTGGCACCCCATCAGATTCCACTGGAAAGCACTCCTAAAGGTCAACAAATAGACCTTGAACTATTTACAGGTTTTTCTTGTTTTTGTCATTGGTTTTTGGTTGTTTTTTCCTTTGTTGCTTTGTTTTGCTCTGTCTTGTTTTTGTGCATATTATTATCTCTGCAGGTCTATCTAGATAAGGTAGGTGGGATAAACAATCTACAGGAGAAAACAACGGAACCAAGGAACCAACGGTGTTGAGGAGGGTGTTGGAGGCCTGGTAGGGCTTGATCAAGAGCAATGTAACCAAGAGAAATTACTGAAACCCAAACGAAGGCTGAGCATGATAGTGGGACAAGAGGAAAGTAAAAGGAAACAGGAAAGAACTAGGAGGCAAAGGGCATTTATAGAGGTCTAAATATAGGCGTGTACATGTGTAAATATATTTTTATATGATGATGGGGAAATAAGAGGTATACACATATATTTATAGGTTTAATATCAAGGTAGCAAACGGGCATTGCGCCTTCACTTAAGTACTCCCTCAATGCAAGAACTCTTTTGTTCTATTAAACTGGCATTCCATGATGGTCACCTTCCTGACAGGATTGCTGAAGACAATGCGGGTGCATAAGCAAACGTGAAGCTGATGGTGCCCAGCTAACAAAAGGGGTCTTAAAGGTTTGAAGATAAACAAGTTCAGAAGCAACAAATCCTACATGGAAGAAGCACACCAGCCTGTGTGACGAGGTGTCAATGGGGATCGGGGATCAGGCATCACAGAACAAAAAATGTTATCATTGTTTATGAGAGGGGAGTGTGGAATGGTAACCAAAGCCCATCTGTACGCAGCTGGATCCCCTTAAGGGTCGCAGGGAGATGAGCCAGTCAGGGTGCAGTGTAGCAATGATGAAACACAACTTTCCTCTAGTTCTTAAATGCTTCCTCCCCTCCCCCGCTACCATCATCATCCCAATTCTACCTTACAAATCCGGCTAGACCAGAGGACGTACACTGGAAACACAGGGAATCCAAGGTAGATGAACCCCTCAGAACCAGTGGTGAGAGTGGCGATACTGGGAGGGTGGAGGGAAGGTGGGGTAGAAAGGGGGAACGGATTACAAGGATCTACATATAATACACCCTCCCTGTGGGACGGACAACAGCAAAGTGGGTGAAGGGAGATGTCAGACAGTGTAAGACATGACAAAATAATAATTTATAAATTATGAAGGGTTCATGAGGGGGCGCGGGGGGAATGAGGAGCTGATACCAAGGGCTCAAGTAGAAAGCAAAGAAAGATGATGGCAACATATGTACAAATGTGCTTGACATATGGATGGATGGATGGATGGATGGATGGATGGACTGTGATAAGAGTTGTACGAGCCCCCAATAAAACGATTAAAACAAACAAAAAATGCACAAACTATCTAGGAAATTATTTCTAGAATCACTGCCAATGTTTTAGAAGTTCCTGGAAGCCACAGTATACAGAAATGTCTTTATTTAAACTGAGCAGATAACTCATCACCATATGGGACCAATTAGCAAGGCAGATCCCTGGGATTGTATTCAGGTAGACTAGCCCTTATTTAATTACTTCAAATTAATGTTAACACTTTCTTTTATACTTATAAAAAGAAGAAAATTCACTGCCCAGGGGCTGACTGATTCAGTGACCACACAGGACAGAGTGGAACTGTCCTTGTGTGTTTATGAGACTGAAACACTTTATGGGAATAGAAAGCTTCATCTTTCTCCCATGTCCTCGTATCACCAGAGTTCTATAACACCATTTCTATTTGAGGCCAGTAGCCCAGAACCTGCAGCCAGGCAAGCTGGTCAAATCTTTTGTTTAAGCTAATTCAGTTTACTTTTGACCACTGCAACCCAAAGCACATCAACTGGTGCTCTCTGAAAAAAATGTTTAAATGGGCAAGATTAATTTGTTGCTAAATATTGCTATTTACTTGAGCACTTACTATTTTCCAGACACTACGCTACTAAGTAGATTTACGTATCTGACTTGAGAATAATAAAAGTTTATGGAAACGTCTTTTAATCCATTTTTCCATGAACTTTTAAAAGTCCCTTCATATGACATTCAACGTTATAACATGTCTCTGAATAAGTCCTATTTTATAGGAGAAAAAGAGGTTACCATGTATCTAAGGCCATATGCCCAAGTATTCCTGACTCCAAACTGGTTGAGGACACTATTCTATGCCTTTCTATTAACCCAGTCAAGTCATCAGTGTTTCCTAAGGGCAATAATCATACCGTTAAAAAAAAAAAAGATAAAATAACCAAACAGCTGTAATATTCTTACTGTTAAGTACCATCAAAGTGGTTCTGACTCACACAACATCGCAGTATAACAGAATTGCCCAAACCTGTACCAGCCTTACAACTGTGATGGTTAAGCCCATTGTTGCAACCACTGGGTCAATTTATCTCATTGAGGGTCTTCCACTTTTTATCTAACCCGGTCCTTTTTCAGGGATTGGTCTTTCCTGCTTAGATGTCCAAAGTATGGGAGACAATGCCTTGTCATGCTCACATCTAAGGAACATTCTATATGCACTTCTTTCCCAGACAAATTTGTTTGTTCTTCTGGTAGTCCACAATATTTGCAACATCTTTATCACCATCAATTTTCCACTTGCTCTATAAGCATGACAAAGTTGGATACTGAATACAGAAGACCAACAAAGAATTGATGATCCTCCTAATTCAATTTCTAACTTTCACATGCTTATAGGGCAATTGAAATTACCATGACTTGGGTCAGACAAATCTTAGTTACCCAGGAGCACTTTAAAGAGATCTCGTGCAGCAGATTTACCCCAATGCAATACATTGTTTGATTTTTGACTGCTGCTTCCATGAACACTGACTAGGGATCAAAGCAAAAATAAATTCTTGACTTTAATCTTTTCTCTAAGTATCATGAAATTGTCTCTTGGTTCAATTTTGAGGGATTTTTTGTTCTCTTTATATTGAGTATGAATTGAAATTCATACTGAAGACTGTAGTCTTTGATTTTCATCACCAAGCCCTTCAAGTCCTCCTCACTTTAGGCAAAGTCGTACCACCTGTATATCACAAGTTGTTATTTATTCAGCCTTCTTCTGATACTGATGCCATGTTCGTCTTGGATTATACAACCATGCATTTTCCCTGATTTTAAACCATGCAGTATTCCCTGACTGCTCAAACCACGGTCTCTTGTTTCATGCAGTGTTCCCTAGCTCTTTCAACCACTGCTCTTGGTCCCCCAAATGAACACAATGAAAAGTGTTCTGGAATTCCCATTCTTCTCAATGTTACCCATAGTTTGTTATGATTCACACATTTGAATGCCTTTGGTTGTCCATTAATCACAAGTAAACATCTTTCTGGTATTTTCTGCTTTTAGCCAAGATCCACCTGCTATCAGCAGTGATATTCCTTGTTTCATATCCTCACCTAAATCCAGCTTTAATTTTTGGTAGCTCCCTGTCAATATACTGCTGCTATAGTATATTGTGTAGCTATAATAAGCTATGCTAAGCATAAATAATTATGTTTAACAGAATTGCAAAAAAATATTAATAAATGTATAGCTAATGAAATTTTGCAACCAAACGGATACATGCCGGATGTGTCTATAAATAACGAATCTTCTTTTAACTAATTAAGAGGTATAACTAATAATGGCTGTATAATCTGCAAAAAAGATTAATAAATAAATTAGATGGTGAGGTAATATCTTGATACCACTGAAAAGGAGAATTCTGACCCATCCCCCTAAAATGACTTGAGTTTTGTAAACTTTTCTAAACTCAATCAAGCCTAATTTTCTCGTTTAGGTTGATCTCATTAAACAATCATGAAAGACACCAATAATTTGTAGAAATTAACTAATCAGAATTATCCTTCACATTTTTATTTCTAACAGTGTGAGTTACACAGTAACTTTACAAGTTAAAATTTCAACTTTTCCTGGGATGTGGTTTTCTAAAATCATGTTATATTTAGGATTGCTAAAACTCAATTTAAAATTTTTTAGAGTTACAAGGCTCTGATTATTTAAATAGCCTTGTAATACTTGATAACACAAGCATGTTAAGATAAAACTACCTCTAGACATAATATTGATTTGCCACAAGACAGTTCTCCTGTCTAGCCCTAAATATGGAAACATTTTTGCTGTGATCAAAATTTATTGGTCTGTAGTTTTCCCTGACTTCCCTGCTACCTCTGACCTGGTGCTGACCCTTCTAAAAGAAGGTCTGTTGGTGCTTTGGTTTAGGAACTGGACTGCTATCTGCAAGGTCAGTGATTCAGGCCTACCCCCAGCTAAGCAAAAGGATAAAGAAGAGGCTAGCTGCTCCCTGTAAAGACACAGTCATGGAAATCCTATCTTGGGTTGCTGTGAGAATAACTAGATGGCAGTGGGTTGGGTATGGAGTTGGAATAGAAAGCAAGTTTTTAGAGGGAATGCTAAAAAGAGAACAGGTAAGGTAAAGACTGCTACTGCTCCAAAGGGACTTGCATATGCAAAGCTGAAATGTTGCGAAGAAAACTAAAATAAAGGAAGTGAATATTTCTAGCTTTTGTTGACACACATAATTCCATGAATACATACACAAAGCAGTTCTTTCTGAAATTCACCTAAAATAAATCATCCAAAGCAGGCTTTCTTTAGGAAAAAACAGATGCTTTATATTATTAAAAGTACAAAAGACTTACCTTGAGATTTAGATAAAATAATGGAAAAAAAACTTGTATAAGATTTCTTAAATTATTCTAAACACAATTATTGAAGTACTACTTTAATAAGTATTATTAAAGTTCTCAGAAATAAGTAAATTCTACCAGTTGTTTACACAAATTTATACTAGGAAAAAGACGTAAAGGTTTTACTGAAACCAAATAATAATCAACCTTGAAAAACTAAATTAAAGAAACATGCCCAGAGCATATAAAATATGAAAGAAAAAAAAAGATTCAGATATTATGTCACTTAAAAATAAAAAGGCATTCTAGACTTGCAAGTATAAAATCGGTAAAGTAGTGAGCATATTTCTTCCTAAGGTAATAATGTAAGGTTCTCTTTGATCACCTAAAAGGATAACTTAGCAGGCTACAAGTCTTTTGATACCATTTCACATATTAAAATAACATTTCATCACTTCAAAAGACTAAGTTTCACTATGTAATGTGATTCAAAACCCACCTTTTTCATTTTCTTTATATCTACAAATGCCAACTGGAATCTCTGCTTGAAACATGGAGCCCACCATAATCTCCTATTTAAAAAATAATAAAATATTAATAAGATCTTACAATATATATATTTATATCCATCTCTAGCTTTACTATCTGCTTAAGTAAACTGGTCCTGGTTTCTATGTCTTAAAATGCAGGTAAAATTAATATTTTGTAAAAATACAGTATTGTGAAGATGAATGAGTTAATAAGAAAGAAGTGCTTGCAAATGACTGGATGAAAACACCAGTAACAATAAGGGGGTAAGAAATGCAATATAGATACAAACTTAACTTCAAAATATGGTGGAAAAATGAATTCCTGAAACCCAATTAGTAAGGCAATTGTAAAATTCACTGAAAAACAGAAAGGCAAACAGGAAATGGTTTCTAAAAGGTTTTCCCTAGGCCAGAAGCATCAATGTCACCTGTGAAACGGTTAGAAATGCACATACCCACACCTACTGAATCAGAAACTCAGAGGGTACACAATCTGTATTGTGTACTCAGCTCTCCAATCTTAAGTCTGAGAACCAGAAATTTAAGGTAAAGAAGAAAAAGTATTTTATAAAGCCCTTCTGGGCCAAAGAAATGAAACTCCAAACCAAATGGTAAAACAGGTTAGTGCCTTACTTTTAATAAAAGGAAAAAAGGAACCTGTCGTCCCCACAAAAATGTAATAAAATCTTGTTTTAGAATATCAGGCAATCCCACTTATAGAGTCATATCACAGAAAAAGGAAACGGCTAGTTAGAGCCACTACAATCACCACAAATGAAATTTCACAACAGATGGGAACAAAGATCCACATGGATCCTCTTTTGTCTAGTTGCTAAGATTTAGGAATAAATTTACCAGGACATTTAAAGTGAAGACTTGAGAAGAAAAAGTTCAAATAATCATGTCTAATAAGTCTAGGTAAAAAATTTGGATTTAAAAGTCCTACTTCCATTAGTAATTTGTTACCACCTACTTGTGTGTTAAATCTCAATTTATAAAATCTAAATTCAAAAACTGGCTTCATGTAATGCTACTCTTATATCTACACAAGTCTTTCTAATGGTCAGTTTTCCAAAGAATGTCAAAACAAATTTTCACCTATATTATTCTAAGAATTTTCCTTACATTAACTAATTTTTCACCACAAAGAGTATTCTAGTGTCACTCGATTACATAGTTTTATAGTAATTCTTTCAACTTTACTCATTTATCCTACCAGAGAATAAATAGCAACGTTGTCAACCATGGCTGGAAAATTCCAATGCCTGAGACCACTCCAAACCAAACGAACAAGTATCTCTGGACTAAGGCCCTGGTAATCAAAACTTTGCCATGAAGCCATGGTTGAGAACTTCTAGACTGATAAAAAGATAAGACACCCTCTTTCTCCTACTGGAGTCAGAACGCCCCCTTTCACCTGCTAGTTCCACCAGTAGGGTAGAAAGGAAGATAGTGTTCAATAGGTATTACAACAATGGGTTGGCAAGGGGTGGGGGAAGAGGAATTGCTTTTTTTTTTTAATGTAGTTAAGTATATATTATGAGGTAACTGGAAAATACTATAGCTTTGGGTCAGGTGCACTTTAGTCCTCCAAAGTAACTGCCTGCTTTTCAATACTGTAAAGAGGTCTTGTGCAGATTTACACAATGCAATGTTTCATGTGATCCCTTGACTGCTCATATACATTGGATATGTTGTCAGAAGAAACCAATGCCCAGAGAAGCACATTGTGCTTGGCAAAATAGAGGGACATGGAGAAAAAAAAAAAAAGGCCCTCAACAAGATGGATTGACAGAGCAGTTGCAACAATGGACTGAAGGATAGTAACAACTCTCAAGGATGGTGCAGGATGTTTCACTCTATTTTATGTAGCGTCATTATGGGTGGGAGCCAACTGGATGGCACCTAACAATAAAAACAACACGTACATAATAATTTTTATTAAGCCTTTATCAAGCCCTGAAACACAAACTGTTAAGAGTGGAAGTACTCTACAGTAGAAGTAGTTAAGGCTGGCACCATCTAATTTTATCCTAAGGACAAAAGAGGTCATGGTTCACTTGGGTGAACCGTCACGTGGACTAGTTTCTTCTTTAAGTCTTTAGTTTCCGCCATTCTGCTTTACTTCAGTCAAGCATTGACCAATAGTTGTTTTTTAGATGACTGTACCCAAGCTTTTAAGACGCCAGGCATTTCTCAGCAAATGAAGAGTGTAAAACATTAACTTTAGGCCATTACGTTATGCTACCTAAATCATCCTATTCGATTAGGGTTCCAATCCCTTCAAAACAGTAAACCAATTATCTGAGTTGTTTGCATATACTTTTTAGGAAGTCAATGTAACCGCACCCCTTATGTGCTTTACTCTTGATAGCAGCATAACTTGTGCAACCACTACGCCACGAGGGCTCTAGATATACAAGGAGGCTTCAAAAAATCCTTGTAAAAGCAGAATTAAAAAAAATTTTTTTTCCATGAATTTTTTGAGGTCTTCTAATATTTACATATGCCCATAAATATAATCAGGAAACATAATGGGTAATGAGTTGGCCTGCTAACCACAAGGTCAGCAGCACAAACAGTAGAAATATGCTTTCTAATCTGTCAGAGTTAGTCTCAGAAACCCACAGGGCAGTTCTATTTCATCCTATGGGGTCACTATGAGTTGGATGGCAGCTGACTTCGTGAATTATATACAGCCTATATACATGATGTACTCTAATATGCCTTCCTTCCTATAGGCATATACGCATACACACCTACCTCTATAACCACGTATGTATTTTTTGCTGTAAAAATTCAGTATGCTATAGTATTCGCTAAAGTTATCCCTTTTTCTTATACACTTCTCTTCAGTGTTTTCATATGCAGTGGTCAGTTTTGTGACATCACCTTTACTTGACATTGTGTTCCCATCATCAAAAAATAATAATTGTCTCATCCCTGGGAACCATCAGAAAACATCCCTTTTACTCTGTGTAATCATATACTGTTTGTCCCTTTGTGATAACCTTATTTACTTAGTATACTGTCTCCCCGGTCTCATCCACATTATATCTTACAGATAAATGCATTTTTAAAATTAACATAATTACATAGCATACTTTACAAGGGGCAATAAAAGTCTAACCCAGCATAAGTTCCGTTATCTTGGTAGACGTACTCATTTGCTTAATAAAGTCTGATTCTTTCCCTATAATCATTTAATTTTATAAAAATTTAATTTCTCTAATAAAGATGTATTAAGGGGAATTTTTAACAAATACTTGAATTTTATAAAAAGACTACCATCAACTTTAGTAATATATAAAGAACCCTCCCCCCAAAATTCCTACATTATTCTTGCTAAAATATTATTAAATACTGTATTATTTAATATATACACAAAATATGAGTATGTAAATATTATAATAGCAAAGCATTATACATCATCATACTTTAACCAAGAATATGATATATTATACATACTATTCTTACATAAAATATAAAGAAAAATTAAAGGAAAAAACAGCTCTTAGACTTTTTTAATACTAATTTAACTCAGTTTTGGTTCAAATTACCTTTTTCCAGTCTTCTGATGGAATATAATCTTCGTCTTCCTCGGATTCTTCTTCTATTTCACTATCTAGAATAAGTGAGACAATACTATAAAATGATTGCTCTTCCTGTCTTCTATATATTGTTTTTAAAACTACCCACAAATACTTACACATACTCATACTGAGTTAGGTTAGTTAGGCCAAGATAGGTCTACACACATCAATAATATTCACCACTAAAGAAATAAGTAACACACTATAAACTTTTTCTTTCTAGAAAAATTTTAATCTATTCTTATGAAGTAGTTTTCTACAAAAACTTAATGGATTTAGTTAAGATAATTCTGTTTTAAACCCGATTTATTTCTGCTACCAACAAACAGCACTGGAACAGAACAAATAACAGGATCTCAATTTCTTCCATTATAAAAAAGGATTTGGAGAAAATACTGAGTTTTAAACAGTGCTCCTTGGAATTCGGAATTTGCTTCACCACTTTGGAGCCAATATGCAGGGATCACAGTAAGAACATATTTACATAAAAGGAAGAAAAGTTGGTAAACTACTAGATTGTCAGCATCACCTTAAACCTAAAATTCTACTACTGCATATAAACTTCTAAAAGACATGACATACAGAAATTACTGCCTCCTATGGAAAAGCAGCATGATAAGTAGAGCTCTCGACAAACCACTTTAACGGAAATACCATATTGGCAATATGAAATAAGTATTGTTTCCAAAGGTATTCACTTAGCATCTTGCTTTAATTGAAAAGCAAAAGCAAACTGGCAATGAATTTGCTTAGAGAAAAATAGCACTGCTTTTGTCCTAAATGTTAAGATTCAACAGAATTATTTCAGTAGCTAAACTCTCCTTGAACTTTTCACTTGAACCAGGTCTTTGATTAAAAACCCACAAAACTGTTCTTAGCAGCACTCCATTCATTTCTGAACTAAAAAAAATTAGTAACAAATAAATCAAGTATGCAAAGCAGCAGCCACATTTTAATCACTATTACTGAAATATATTTTATCAGACGTAATTTTTTTGTTTTATACATTAAAAAGATAGAAAAACTGAATTTAAACTAGTGGCACTGGTGATTGACTTGTTCTTTTAAAAGGTATCTTCTAGCTTAACACTTCACGCAAAACGGCTGTACAGGTAAAGAACTCAAATATTAAAAATACATAGATTACATGTTATCTTGACTACTGGCCATCTCAGACTAGCATGTGATTACAGAAACATTAGAGAAGTTCCATCTAGATATACTATCAAAAATTTCTTCAGAAGAGTCAGTGATTTTGAGACAGCACTGTATATGAAAAAACCTAGAATATCTACTACCCATGAAAGATAAAAACTGAGGAAAACACTAGGAGAAATTAAAAAGATGACAAGAGAACGAACAAGTAAAATGAGGCAACAAGGTGGGGAAAGAATCCAGTGAAGCGAGACAGCAATTTGGGTAATATATTCATCTGACAACCGAGCCCTACATTTCAAAGCACACACTAGGACAAAATCAACTTACTGTTGAGATCCACAAGTAAATGAATTCAAATGGAGCAGTTAAAAAAAAAAAAAAGCACTAGGATTTGGGGGAATAAGCAAACACTATTCCAACTAGATACCAACAGCACTTACTCGTATCAAAATATTTACATCGGCGTGGGCGGATTACTTCATGGGCATCTTGAGAAGCAACAGATTGAGATGGATCATCATTGGAAGACTGAGTTTCATCCTCTTGTCCTGATGAATCCTTTGTATTCTCTTCCTGAAGAACAATGAAATAAATTCCTTTGATATAAAAGAGAACTGGTACACATAAAAGATTATAGAATTCAAATTTAGTTCCAAATACAACTAAAAGACTAAAATGAAAGCATTAAATCCAAGGTGGCATTCTGGAGTAGATTTAAGAGTAGAAAAAAATAACATTGCTTATTAAAAAATCCTAGTGAAATCTAAATAATCTACAAGTTAATAGCGTTGTACAGTATTGACTTTAGTTTTGATAAAGGTATAATGATTATGTAAGATTTTAACATTAGAAGAAGTTGAGTCAAAAGTAAACAGGAATACTCCTTTACCCTCTATGCAATTCTTCTGTAAACCTAATAGTTGCCAATTAGCCATGAATACTGGAAAATAATAGCATATCTTAAAAATTAGTACAAATTTTAAGAATAAGCATTAAAAAGGAATCTAGAACGTAAGCCACACGGCTACCTCTAAGGAATGGGATTACAATGTACTTACAACAGCTACGTTACATATTTCTAAGACACAGTAATTTTATCATTTAAATATATTATTTTTAAAATCAGAAATAAAGACAGATTAATATAATTAGTATGTGAATAGATGAATGGTTAACTCAAGAAAAAAAGACTATAACTTTACTTTATTTTCCCCACTACAGCCACTGTTGTCATCATTATCACCATCTTCTTCATCTTCAACCTCTTCCTCCTCTTCCTCCTCCTCATCTTCTTCTTCATGCAGTCGAACAGAACTATCATAACCATAAAGGCTGAGAAGTTCATGAATTGGCATGTCGCCTTCCTAAATAGCCCAAAATAAAGCCAAATTTCTGAATCAGTATTTCATATTCCTACGTTATAAAAAAAGATGCATTGCTTTGGGTAAATCTGCTACACAAGACCTCTCTAAAGTATTAAAAAGCGAAGATGTTACTTTTAGAATTAAGATGCACCTGTCCCAAGTCCTGGTCTTTTCAACTATCTCATAAGCATGTGTAAGTTGGACAGTGAATTAGGAAGCCCAAAGAACTGATAGCTAAACTGTGGTGCTGGAGAGCACTATTGAAAGTACCATGGACTGCCAAAAGGGCAAAACAAATCTCTCTTGGAAGTACAGCGAGAGTGCTCCTTAGAGGCAAGGATGGTGAGACTTCATCTAATGCACTTTGTACATATTGTACAGTGAGACCAGTCTTTGGCAAAGTACAAATCAGGAGGGAAGCCCCTTAACGAGAAGGAAGGACACAGTGACTCCAACAATGGGCTTAAGCATCGGAACAATTGTGAGAATGTGCAGGACCAGGCAGTGGTTTCCTTCAGTTGTGCAAAAGGTCACTATGGGTCGGACCTGATTTGATGGTACCTAACAGCAAAGTTATAAATCACATCTACAGAAAATGCATTTCATACATATAAAAGCTTTTATAGTTAGTATCAGTAAGTCTTAGATTATAAAAAAGTAAAACTTGAAATGTTTTGAAAACCTGGAATACTAGTCTTAACTATAATATTTTAAATATTTCTATGATAAAAGGCTAGACAATTCTAATCATCAACAAAAAACTATTAGATATATGGAGGAATTGACGAAATAAAATCACTGGCCTTCAAATGAGAAGTTTTACTGCATAGACCACTACACTACCAGACAGTCTGAGATTTAGTATATATATGTTAGGTAACACCATGTATGAATGCCCCCACTTAAAAAGAGAGGATGGCGTAAAATAATTAGAAAACCAAATGACTGGAATATAATTAACAAATTTAGAAATGAAGATGAAATCAGTTTAGCTCAAACATATTAAAAGAAAACAGCAATCATATACCAGAATGATACTGCACTACATACATTTCCTAAGGTTGTTTCCATTAACGAGATTGCCTCATACAATCATTACTACTTCACAAAAACTTATATTATCTTCATGGACGAGGAAACTGAGACTAACAGATTAAGCGATTTCTCCAAAATTTACACAAGTTACAAGGCTAGATTTGAATAGTCCAAGTCTGAAATTCAGACGCGTTATCAGTAAATCATGCCGCTTCAACCAGTCACAATCCTCCCCCCTCTCCCAGGCAAAAAAACCCCACTTTCTCTGTGTGAGGAAATTATCTATATGTAGGACTAAATTAATTCAGCTTCCTATTATGGAAGGTACTACCTTTAATCCATAATCAAGTAATATGCACTTTTAGGGAAACCTGGTAGAATCTGATTATAAATAAATCTAATCCAAATTACCCAAACTTTAAATATATACATATATACATGCATAAAAAACAAAAAACTCAATGCCATCAAGTTGATTTCGACTCATAGCGACTCTACAGGGCAGGGTAGAACTGCCACTGTGGGTTTCCGAGACCTTATATCTTAGTAAGAGTGGTCTTTCTCCTGCAGAGCACTTAATGGTTTCAAACTGCTGACTGTGAGGTTAGCAGCTTAACACATACCCAATACAGATGTACATACATATATAACTTAATAGAATGAGTATTTAGCTTAGAATCTAGAAAAAGTGAATGGCAAAGCAAGGCATGTTTTGAATCTCTCCAGACATTTGTGCTTACTCATGGATGGAAGTGTCACTCCATGATGGCCCTCACTGACCCATGGCCCTTCGGGGGACACCACCAGAGACACAGTGTGGGAATTACACCCGATCTCATCCCACCACACTGAGGCAAAGTACTGGGGGAGTGCAGCGGAACAGCAAGGGAATGGAGCAGCAAGTTCCCCAGTGAATGCTAAAGGTGGACTTTGGGGCCAGGGCATAGTGCCCCAACAGACTGGACTGGAAAACACTCCTAAAGGCCAGCGATCCTTGAACTAACTACAAGCTTTTCTTTCTTTGTGTGTTTTCATTTGTTCTTTGTCAGTGGTTTGTTATTGTTGCTTTTTCGCTGTACAGTGTTGCTGGGTTTTGCTCTGTCTTGTTTTT